ATCTTTCTCCCGCGGAGCGGCTGGTAGTTTCGAACCGCTGACCTTAAGGTTCGCAGCCCGATTCGTAACCACTACGCTACCAGAGCTCCTTTATCAGTGACATATTAGTTTATACAACGGGGGGGAGGGAGGAATGCCTAAGTTTTTATAAGTGAGAACTAAAGTTGAAGCTTGGAGTTCCTGGGTGGCCCAAAAGGTTATGTCCTGACTACTAAAGTGTGGTGCTCTGGGGTAATGGGCTGGACTGCAAAGTCAGTTTGAACTGCAAGGTTGGTGGTTCATACTTACCAGTCGCTCCTCGGAAACCCTACACAGGGTCGCTATGGGTCGGAACCAACTAACGGCACTCAACAACAATAACTAACTGAAAGGCTGGCAATATGAACCCACTCAGGGGCACCTTAGGGACAGGCCTAGTGTTCTATTTCTGAAAGGTCACAGTCCAGAAAACCCTCCGGAACACAGTTCTATTCGGCAGCACGGAGATTGCAATAATTGGAATTCACTCAACAACCTTGAAGCTAGATTGCGATTTTTGTATGGGATTAAGGAGGACCCTCAGGGATTTCATGGTAGAATTGGGAACATATTAACACTAGAGCCCTTGCACTATCCCAAGAGTCTTGGATGAGAATTTATTCCAAGAATGGCATTCCTCATGGGTTATATACATAATTCATAAGCTATGGAGAGATAGTAACAACTGAACAAGCTCCTTCAATAAATGTGCTGTCTAAAAGAGTTGGAATATTGATGATTATCTTTGAACCACGTTTGTACTCACAGCAGAGCTCCAGCACAAACAACACTGTTTTCGCTAAAATAGAATTCACGTAAGTTAGAGCTTCCTGGGATCTTACTTAGGAGAATTTGGTGGGGTTGCTTGGTCAAGTGGCCTTCAACTAAGAGCCAAGGATATAGCTCATCTGCTAATTAACTAGTTAACTAGTACTAAGGTCGTTCTTAACTAGGTCTGCCCATAGGGGATCTGAAACGTTGGTGTAAGGAACAGATGTACTGGTTTTATCCAGGAATGTTTTCCATGTAGAGAAAGGTGCAATGTTTGTAGGCAAGGAGCAACAAGAAGGATGAAACATTGAATTCAAGATATACATTGATTATGGTGTATATATGCAGAGGTGTATATATGCAGAGCTCATGGTGTATATATGCAGAGGTTTCAAAAATTCCACAGGAAAATTCCAATAGCTTTTCATTTCATTTTTCCTGAAATTTTTGAAACCCCTTCATTTTTCATGGTCTTTAAATTTGGAAAAATCCTGAATGTAAACGCCCTCTAGAATAACATTTTCCAAGCTGCAGGTTGGAAAACCAATTTAGGGGATTGTAATTGGCACTTTCAAAAATGAAGCGGAAAACCTTAGAATGATTGCAAGAAGTAAAAGAAAACAGCACACTGGTTTCAGTTAGGAGGGGCCCTGGTGGCACAGTGGTTAAGCGCTCGGCTGCTAACCAACAGGTTGGCAGTTTGGACCCACCATCAGGTAAGCTCTTAACTACTGTGCTACCACGGCTCTCCAAACAACAAAACCCAAAAAATCTACTGGCATCAAGTCATCTCTTGCTTAAAGCAAGCCTATGGAGGCGGAGTGGAACAGTCCCATAAAGTTTCCAAGGTTGTAATCTTAACGGAAGCAGACTGCTATAGCTTTCTCCCATGGTGGGTTCAAGTCACCACCCTTTCAGTTAGCAGCTCAGCTTTTAACCATTTACTATCAGAGCTCCTCCAAACAATACCCAACCCAAAGCCCACTGCCACCGAGTCCATTTCAACTCATAGCAACCCTGTATATGGTTTCTAAGGCTGTACATCGTTAGGGATGGAGAAAATTTCATCTTTTTCTCACTGAGAAGCTGGTGGTTTTGAAATGCTGACCTTTCAATTCACAGCCCAGTGCTTATTTTACAGTGCTAGCTAGCTCCGGTAGTGTAGTGGTTACGGCGAATCAGGCTGCAAACCGCAAGGTCAGCAGTTCAAAACTTCCAGCTGCTCTGCGGGAGAAAGATGAGGCTTTCTGCTCCTGTAAAGATTTACAGCCTTGGAATCCCTGTTCAGGGTCGCTATGGGTCAGAACCGACTCGATGGCACTTAACAACAACAACCGGGCTCCAAACAATAGACATGTTAATTACTGCTTCGAGTTTTACTGAAGTTTTTTAGCAAGTTTGTGAATTGGTAGCCCGATTTCTTTCTATTGACAAATTTCGTGAACATCATTCCTCTTTAAAAAATGTTCAAAATGTATTTTAACCTACTACATAATAGAACTGTGACACAATTAGCAATGATGGTGCTGTAGGATGAGCACTGGCCTGTTAACCACAAGGTCAGCAGTTCAAACCCACCTGGCATTTTAAGGGAGAAAGATGAGGCCTTCTGCTCCTATAAAGATTTGCGTTGTTGTTAAGTGCCATCGAGTCGGTGCCAATTCAAATCAACTTTGCAGTCCAGTGCATTAACCCACAGCGCTACACCAAGACTCTGAAACCCTATCCAGGGTCACTATGAGTCAGAATGGCACCTACCAACAACAACAACATAATAGTAATAATAGTTAATATGCAAAGATGATCATTCATGACCATGACATTGTTGTAAGGCTTTTTGCATTAAACTGCAGGCACTTTGGCCAACTCTCCACTCTGCTTACCAGCCTGAACCTACTTGTTATCTAGAACCCGGCCTCTTTCCCAGCATCTTAGAGGCAGTGACTGGTGGTCGGTTGGGATTTGGAACCAGTGGTGGGAGGGTGTGTGTGTGAATAGGGAATAGAGAATAAATTCATCAGGGGCCCGTGGCAGGCTTCTGAGTGAGGTGAGAACCCCACAAAGGTAGGTTCAAACAACCAAACTGTAAATTGACAACATAAGTATGGGTTAAGTTTAGTTTTTATGCAACATCTACAAGGGTGATTCAAAAAGTTCATGGAAAAATTTCATTGTCTTTTCATTCCAATTTTCCATGAACTTTTTAAGCCCCCTTCATGTTTGCAACCTTCAGAAAACACATTATTGGGAATGGTTCTGAAAAGGATCTCGTATGAAGACAGATGTACCATTCAGAGTATGACCCTAGATATTCAACCTATTTATCATGCTTTCTAGTAAATGGATCTGATGTTATCTTCAGTAAATAAATACATGGACACCAAGCGCGCGGATCCACCCTGCTCAGTAAGGGAAGACCGGTTAAGCCCCTCATCTGTGAGAGATGTGATAAGCCTGTGATAATGACCAGTGACTTCATGACCAAAGTATGGCTGGCTAACACGCTGTTGTCTGTAGGCACAGGACATGGGCACTGATGTTTCCCTTTACCCACAGAAGGAAACAGTCACAGTTAACTAGCCCCACCTCCTCTTACCTGAAAGTGTTCTCAGTGTGCTTAAGTTTGTGAGACATGAATTCTCCATTCTGCGACTTGACTTCTGTGAATCCCTTCTTCCGATCCAAGATGCTTTTCACTTCTGCTTTGGGCTCTTTGTCCTTTTTAATCTTCTCATCTTTGATCTAACCAACAGGACACATCAGGAAGAAACAAAGTGATACAGATCTTAGTAGGGTTTGGTTAGCATCCCCAAAGAAGATCCTATAATTGTTGAGAAGCCAGAAAACTCAGAAAAATGAACCTCCAGGAGACCAATGTCACAGAGACAAGGTGGAGGGGGGAGTTCTGTGACAACTACAGTCTGTCAGCCTCTGAGCAATGACCTTGGCCACAATTTTAGGATGTCAAGATCATCCCTGATCTCACTGGGGTTTTGTTTTCAGAAGCAGCGAGGGTGTTATTGTTTGGAAACTATGGTGTTCTGGGAATCCCATGTAAAACTATCCGCTTGTAGTTCCTACTGGGGAGAGTGTATGGAGGAATGGTCAGTTGTTTGGACAAATGTCTTCTTGGATGGAGGGTATATCTTTGAGAAGGAAACTAATGTGTTAAGGAAGAAACCTATTAAGTCAGCCAGAGCTATCAAACAAAGAACACACTTGTATTTTAGTCAGATGAGTAGTAACTAGGGACCTGAGAATGGAAGACCTCGTGACCCTACCTTGGGGTACCATGCTTGTGATCATCACCACTAAACTTAGAATGGAATAGAAAAAATTCTGGGGTTTGTCTTGACTTCCATTACCTCTGGAGGTGGTTTTGGGATTCCTGTGGTCATTGCTGTCATGGGGAGACAGAGGGAGATGGAGCATGGGGGACAGGTGTTAGGTGTAACATTTTCAATGGGTTTTGCATGACCAGTTCCTTAGGGTGAATGAGAGATGATTTCAAAGCAGATTGAATTTACATAGGTGTGTTTTTTTGAGTGTGTGTGTAAAGGAGTTCAAATGACTTTGCCCATATCATCTTCTCCGTTGATAAAAGATGAGTGTGAAAACAGGTGAGGTTCATCATTGTTCATCCCAAGACAATTATTACCAAGCACCAACGCTCCAAAGAAACCTTCGGAGGAAGGGCAGAGCATGAGAACCGAGGGCTTTCGGCGCTAGGTGAGATGTTCTCCCCTTACCTGGTTACTCACCTCTTTCCAGCTATTCTTCAGACCCGCTCTGAGCACTTAGTCCTACAGCAGGTTTTATCAAGCTGAGCTCTCTAGTTTCTCTTTCCTGGTGAGCCTTCACCAGTTTTTTGTCTGATTGCCTTCTCTGGATGCTAGTTACTATAGTGAAGACAGTCTACTTACTATGCTCTACTAATTAGATACATCTTTCTTTGAAGGGGTATAGACTTGTATGTCCTTGCACGCACTGCGGGGAAGCTGATGTCCTGCTCAGTAGCTCGCTGAGAGCTTTCATTGGATGTTAAAAAAGCTGAGTTACTGACAACATTGTCAACAAATGAGCTAGGTTACTCTGACCATGTCATGAAGACAATGATGGGTGGTAGGTTTTTGTATTCTCTTTGGGAACTTTCTTTGAAAAATGCTCAGTGATATATGAGGGGCTTCAAAAAGTTAATGGACAAATGGAATGAAAAGATACTGGGATTTTTCCATGAACTTTTTGAAGTTCTCTTGTATACCTACTCTTCATGTATTGATTATCTTGTTATCTGACACGGTTGTTACTATTAAATATTTATGAGTCAGTTCTGACTCATAGTGACCCCGTGTAGGGTGTCTGAGAGTGGCTGGTGGGTTTGAACTGCCGACATGCAGTCAGCAGTCCAGTGGTTATCCAACAGCGCCACACCAGGGCTTACTAAAACTGTTAGGAAATTACAGAAACAAAGCTTCTGGTGTACTCTTTAGTACCAAGGCCCAATTAATAAGTTATGGGGTAGGAGAGGCAACCGCATCTCCTCCACCAAGTGTGCATCACAGGAGAGTTTTAAGAAGGTTCTTGAAGGGAAGCATCAGTTTTTTTTCTACAAAAACAAACAAACCCTCAACGCACTGAGGTGGAGTCAGTCCCCACTCATAGTGACCTGATGTTGTTGTTAAGTGCCATGGAGTTGGTTCCAACTCACAGTGACCCTATATAGAGTTTCTGAATAGTGACTGGTAGGCTTGAACTGTCGACCTTGTGGTTAATAGTCTAGTGCTTATCCTTCAGCACCACACCAGGACTCCAATAGAAATTGTATAGGGGTACCTGGATTTGAACCAGGGACCTCTTGATCTGTAGTCAAATGCTCTACCACTGAGCTATAACCTATGTTGTTGTAAAGTACCCTTGAGTTGGTTCTGACTTATAGCGACACTGTATAAGGTTTCCAGGGAGCAGCTAGTGGGTTTGAACTGCCAGCCTTGTGGTTCGAAGTCCAGTGCTGATCCTACAGCGCCACACCCAGGAGTCTGTATAGATACCTGTACTATTGTGGTTGTTAAGTGCCCTGGAGTCGGCTCTGCTCACAGTGTCCCCATATAGATTCCAAGGAGCGTTTGGTGAGTTTGAGCCAACAACAGTACTTCAAATTTATTGTACAATTCTGCCCCCTTGTGGTTACTTAAAATGTCAAATCTTCAAGGAATTAGGGAGTCCTGGTATGGCGCTATGGGCTAATGCACTGGACTGCAAGGTTGGTTTGAACCTCAAGGTTGGCAGTTCGAGCTCACCAGTGTTCTTCAGGAACCCCGTGGACCCACAGAATCTGAGTTTGCATTTCCGAAGACTTCCAGGTGGTTTGTGGGCGTACCATCATTGAGGAACTTTGGCCTAAATGCTATTATTGTAAGAGCAGCACCACTGAAGCACTTTGTTTTCCTGTTAAAGGTCAGAAAAGGAAGAGAGAGAATGTGTGTGAGCTCTGGGGAGTAGATAGAAAGAAAGATAAAGGAAGTTCCAAGGTTGGTGAGGAGTTCTGGTGTGGCGCTGTAGGATAAGCACTGGACTGCTAACTGCAAGGTCAGTGGTTCCAACCCACCAGCCAATCCTCAGAAACTCTACACAGGGTCACTATGAGTCCGAACCGACTCCACAGCACTTAACAACAACAACAACAAGGTTGGTGACTGCTCATTGTCCATAGCCACAAATGGGTTAAACCGCACTGGGAGGAAGATGAGATTTTTAAAGATCTTGAGGTCTTTGGGAGTGGTTCTCTCTGAATGTTCAGCGATGTGTGTATTCACTTGTGGTGCACAGAATGCCTGGGCTGCAAAGACCCATGAAAGGAAAAGTTGTTTTTTGTTTTGTTTTGTTTTAATGATATGGAGAAAGAAGGGGAAAGGAGGAGGTTGTTTAAAATGGCAGAATCATGTTAACATGATCTAATCCTGTCGACAGAAAGTAAGACACTAGTTCAAGAGGAGAAAAATTCAGTCTTTCAACGAGTAGGTTTTATGTATACGTTGTTCAAACAAGGATGACCGCGTATTATGATTATTCTTTAGCCAGGGTTGAGGATTAAGCTGGCCAGGAGTTTCGAGGTAGTGGAATAGTGAACACTTCAGGGCCAGCTGGGAAGGGAATATGTCTGAAGCAGTCCCCTGGGGCTTCTTAGTGCTGAGGCCAGGACACTGGCCTGAAAAGAGGCAACCGTGTGGTTGGGCTGACTGTCGGTGATCTCTTTCCGACTCACAGATATCAAAATAGACATAGAACGCTTTGATCATTACAAGAAAATTGCATTTTAGTGAACTGAATGGAATCGTAAATATAGAATCCAAACTACTTTTCCAGTCTTCCCTATTACTTATAAAATGAATCACCGAGTTACCAATGATACGCTCTTCATTCTTTTACAGGAGTCCCTGGGGGGTCCAAGGAGCTCTGGTGGCACTGTTGGTTGGATGCTGGGCTAACTGCAATGTCTGTGGTTCAAACCCACCAGCACTCCTCGGGAGGAAGCTGAGGCTGTCTGCTCCTGTAAAGATTTACAGTTTTGGAAACCCCATGTAGAGCTCTGGTAGCGTAGTGAATACGAATTGGGCTGTGAACCTCAGAGTCAGCAGTTCGAAACTACTAGCCGTTCCATGGGAGAAAGATGAAGCTTTCTGCTCCCGTAAAGATTTACAGCCTCGGAAACCCTGTGCAGCATCCCTAGGAGTCGGAACCGACTCCACGGCACATAACAACAACCACAACTACCTTCTATTTAATCTGATGAATCTATTTTCCAAATATGGATTTTTCTGTTTAAAATTTTGAGTGTTCTTAATATTTGCCTTAGTAGGCAGAAAAACACAGCAAGAATTCACTTGGAATGGAACTCAATGGCAAAGTAATTCAAGTCTTCCTACCTTTGATAATTCAATTTTACCATTGCTAGTACTTTGGACTTATTGGGTATTACCACAATTTCTAGGCATTGCTTGGGGCTAAAATAAAGGCAATGGTTAAAATGGGGCCAGGCTTTCAATTGTATTGGAATATACTGCAGGTGGAATATACCAGCAAGAACATCTGGTCTCCCGTCTCCTTTGCTTACCATACAGTCTAACACCCTGACACCAGTTCTTGTGTGTGCCTCAGAAATGCAATGCAGAACCTTTGGCCAAACTTTCCTTTTGAAAGCCACACATCATCTTCAGTTCACCAAGTTTTCTACTGTGATGTATGGCAGTGTTTTTCTTTTGAAAAGTTAAGTCATTAGTCAAAACAAGTTGGAAATATTTCATGGTTGAAATGAAAGTAGGAGGGATCAAGGAGGTAGAAAAATCGTCCACAGAAGAGAGGGAGGGGTTGGGAAGATTGATACATGAGAGCAGCAGCTTTCAAACCTTTCTTGACTAAGAGTCACAGTGAGGAAGACCATCTATACCACAATGCCCATTTCTAGTCTACCCTATTCCATTTAAAAATGTCGATTGATACTTTTAACTAATTTTGAGACCCTCTCCAGTGGCTTCACCATTCAGTGGATCACGAGTCATGGTTTGAAAAACACTGGATTTGGGGTCACTGCTTTGAGACCACTAGACTGGAAGTGTCATGGAAGACTGCTCCCGGATATTAGATAATGTTACAGTAATAGTTACCTCTTCCTTTTTGAAGGTAGGCTTGTCTTCTTGGGGCTTTTCTCTCTTAACTTGCATGTTAACCCCTTTATCTTCTCCCTTTTTATGTTCAACAATGGTCAGGTCATTAATTTCAAAGAAGCCCTTTCTCGATTACAGGAGGGAGAAGAGGGTTCAGACCACCATGCATGTGTCAGGGGTTAAGACTACTCCTTGGCTGTCTTAGTGGCCAGTCTCTCCTCTGGTGCCCGTGGCTCTAAATGGTGGGCGGGGGTGGTGGAATTCTTTCTTCCCACCACAAAGCTCCCCATGTGCCAGGGTGCTTACAGAGACTTAGCGCGGCACAGTGCTCCTGGTGGGTGCTAAACTCTCAGGGGTTCTGTGCGCTCTGGTTATGATTTCTCATTTACAGGTGTGATCATGAACCCCTTGTATGGAAGAAGCAGGGGTGAAGGACAACTTCAGCACAATGCAGACTTAGGGACAGAAAGTTCTTTTTGGAAAGGCGAACATGCAAGCCTCTCTTCTTGCTTATGCTGGTGGGTAGATACAGTGCTTTTAAGCAGCCTTGCAGACAAGAGAGAAAGTTTTTAAGGCTTTTAAGCAGCCTTGCAGACAAGAGTTTCCATTGTTTTCACCCCTGGTACACACATATTTGTGTCACCGAGATGGTGGTAAAAGAAGCAAAATATATGCTCTTAGTTACCAGCCAATGAGAAGTGAATTCTACCCCAAATGAAAGGCCATCTGCAAGTCTACTTTAAGCTCAAGTCTACATGAGGACAAGCCAGTACTCTGATATTTTTTTCTAGAGGCTCCAAACTGGTTCCTCTCCGCTTTGCTCTCTTATGATCGGTTGATTTCAAGGACTTCACTTGAGTCCGTAAGATGGAGTTTCTGATCATGGGCCTTAATGCTAATTTCCCACTCCAATGTTATAATTTTATATTAAATGTCAAACACATGAGTGAGGTGAGGTATTCTGGATCTTTGGCCTCATGTAGACCTACGGACAGAGATGAGATGTGAAAAAGAATGAATTTAGATACAGGCATAGAATCTCAAGTCAACACAATACCACAATCTTGTGTCTTTGGGTTAATTCATTTTTTTTTTTTTTTTTTGGTATTCATAGCAACCAAGCACTAAGCAATTAATATTCTTTGTTGTCCCAGTAAATTTGGTGGCTTGCTTCTTTAGCTATGAGCTGATTGCTTCATGCTTGCTTATTGCTATAGCCTGAAGAAAAAAAAAAAAAAAAATGAATAACTCGCCAAAGAGTCAAGCACGAGGGAGGTGTATGAATGTGGCCTTCACCCCTAATTTGGTGTTTGGTGTGCATTCCAGTTCCCACAAATGGCAGGCATCACACAATGGGTGCAAAGTGTTAACTGTACCTGTTTCTTTGGGATGGCTGTCTGAGCATTCTCTTGGACTTTCTTCTCATTTACCCATTTCCCTTCTATTGTCTTTTCTCCCTTTTCTCCCTTTATCTGTTTTTCTTGTGTTTCACTTCTTTGTTCTTCTAGCTGCTTTCTTAGTTGTTGCTCCTCTAGCTTAGTCTTTTCTTCCTCCTCTGCCTTTGCCCTTTGCCTCTCTTCGGCTCTCTTCTGTTCCTCCTTCACTCTTTCCCTCTCCTCCGCCTCCCTCCGCCTTCTTTCTTGTACAGCTTTTTCTTCGGCCTCTAGTCTTGCTTTTTCCTCTGCTATCTTTTTGTCTTGCTCAGCTTTCAGCCTGTCTCTTTCTTCTGCCTCCAACCGTACCCTCTCTGCCTCAGCCCTTTCTCTTTCTTCCTCTTCCATCTTTTTCTGATAGGCTAGCTCCTCTGACTCTTGCTCCTGCCCCTCCTCTATTTTATGTTCTTCTGTACCCAGTTGCCCATTTTTCAGTGGCATTACTACGCTTTCCTCTTGGGTTTCTGTTATTTTTTCCTCTATCAGAACCTCTACCTGATTTTCTTCGATGTTGCCTTTATTTGACTTCTCTTCTTCATCTTCCTCCTTTTCTTTTTCTTTTTTCATCTCGTCGGCATCTTGCCAGTCATTCTGCTGGCAGGACTTGGTAATGATCTCTGTTTCTTCTGTCGCGTATCTTTCTTGGCGACTCTCACGCTTCTCTTCTTTCTCTGCGGTGTCATTCTCTGCTGTGTTGTTTTCCATTCTTCTGCTTGGTGGCAGCACACTTTCATCCGTTATGGTTGGGTCGAACTCTTTCTGCCGTTCCAGAGCTTCTTGGAGACGTTTTTGGCGTCTTTCTTCCCGCCGAGCCAGGCGCTCCAGGAGAGCAGCTTCATCATCGCCCTCCCCCTGAGTGTTTGGGGTGGTTGTCTTAGCCTCCTCAGAAGGTACACTGTACAAGAGAAACACAACATCAAAGAAGAGTGCTGAATAATTAGTCCGCTGGATTTGTATAACCCGTGCCACCCTGGGGCTAGGGGAGACAGCTATGGTACCATGATTAATTATTATTCTGTTGGGCCATTTCAGTACATGTATGTCTGGTACCCAATTTCTAGTACCTGGAAGTCAGTCTGTTTGGGGTCTTTCTCTGGCCACTGGTGGGTGTACTTGGTGGGCACTCTATGGTGGGAGTGCTTCAGTATTGATGTCCACTGGTACAGCAACTCTCAAATAAGAGTTGATGAGTGATGGCATGTATATGGGGTCTCTGGGTGGTACTAGGGTTAATGCTTTCAGCTACCAACTATAGGTTGGAGGGTCAAGTCCACCTAGAGTTGCTTTGTAAGAAAGGCCCAATGATCTACATTCACAAAATCAGCATTTGGAGCACAATTCAACACTGATACACATGGGGTGTCATGAGCTGGAATTTTCTTAATAGCCACTGGTTACTGCTAAGGGTGTAAATTTCTGGCTTCCTTATTGGTTGGGTTGGTGAAATCTGAGGTGCAGGGTCCATCCTGGATCTTAGAATCTCTAATGGGTCAAGCTCCAGACACCCATAATGGTAACTTGCGAGGTAATGCAAGCTTTATTTGGTTGCCTTTCCTTTCTTACTTCAGTTCTTCACCTCCTACCTGTGCTTTCTGGAATCACCTTACAAATAAACTACTTGTTCTCAAGTCTTGGTTTTAGAATCAGCTTCTTGGGGAGCTGAAACCAAAACAGGAATCAAACTGAAACTGTAAGCAAATCTTCCTAGTGTCATGTGACATTCTCACATGTCACCAAGCCATCCAAAGTTCTTGCTTTAATGTGGTGGCCCTCAAGGTAGGTTGGTTGGAGGAGGTATGTGTCATAGTGTGGCACTGCCAAGGATCAATGACTCATGCTAATGACCCCAATGGTTGCGACATCTCACGGTCCACCGGAGGTCATGTTCCTCTCTCCATTGTCGTAGGGCAGTGGGGACGCTGCCAATAATTACATTTCCAACAAGGTCTCCTCTGCCTTTGTCCCAGATGGGGCCATGAGACCAGTAGTTACCAAAGAAATAAGAGTGGAAGTAATGTGTCTAGAGCAAGGCAATTAAGAAGAGGCAGATTCTCTACCCACCCTCTCCTAAGGACTCCAGTGTCTTAGGAGCTGACACAGTAGGAAGGAGAGCAGGTCACGAGTCTACCTACTGGTCAGAAATTCCAATATTCAATCGTTATGTGAGAGAGCCTGCATTAAGTTACTAGACTTTGGGGCTATATCGTTTTGACATCCAGCGGGACTCTAACGAATACACATACTGCCTACGGTCTTTTTCAAGATTTCTACAAAGAGAGGGTTCCTTGGTATTCTTTTCTACAGTAGATGAAGGGTAGTTAAGTTTGATGCTTACAAAAACAGAAAAGAAAATCTCCAAAAAACCAAACCACCACACTCAGTGTTCCAGGATGCTGGACACGATCCAAGCCAGGGGTGTTGGTCTCATCTGGCAGGAGACAACCAGTCATGTGATCCCAGTCACTGTGACCAGAGTTGGAAGGATGTGTGTTGCAATGCTTAGAAACCCCATCAAATTTCATGGTTCAGACCGAACTTGGCCCTTTTGAAGTTCAAGTTCACTTCATGTTGGAAAAACATATTTCCCATTTAATGAGAAGAAATGGCAGCGTCCAGGATACATTGTAAAATTTCCTTGGCTTGATCTGTTGCTGCAAGACACTGTCTCCATAAGTTGGACATAGAAAGATTAAATTTCCTGGAGACTACACGGAGTTTAGAATTTAAGGAGAAAGGTCAACATACAAGGCATTTGGATCAACTGAACGCAAGTAAGTTTAAGAAGGTATGCCAGTTCCCGAGTATAATCAGATTCAAGTCATCTGAGTCACGATCCCAATGGACTCTCCTGTCCTTTTGGTCCTTTTTCTCTCTCTAGGCATGTTGTTAAGTGCTGTCAAGTTGGTTCTGACTCATAGCGACCCTATATAGTATTTCCAAGGAGTGGCTGGTGAGTTTGACACGCTGACTTTGTGGTTCAAACCGACCTTGTGGTCCGGTGCTTTATCCACAGTGCCACACCAGGACTCCCTCTCTAAGTATCCACGCATGTGTGTACATATATACATATGTGTCTCTGCTCCTGTTAAGATCTAGAGCCTCAGAAACCCTATACAGGGTTACTATGAGTCAAAACTGACTCTGTGGCACACACACACACACACACACACACACACACACATATGTATTTGTTGTTGTTAGGTGTCACTGAATCGGTATATATATATATATATTGGTGGTGGTGTTAAGTGCCGTTAAGTGGGTTCTGACACATAGCAACATTGTATGGGGTTTCCAAGGAGTGGCTGGTGGGTTTGAACCACTAACTTTATCAAAGAGTTCAGTGCTTGTTTTACAGTGCCACATCAGGAGTCCAGAAATACATATATTTATTGTCGGATAAGCACTGGACTGGTAACTGCAGAGTGGCCGCTGAAACCTACCCACTCCTTTTGGAAGCGCTCCATAGGGTTACTCTGAGTTGGAACCGACTCAGTGTAACACAACAACAACAACATATACGGTGTTGTCGGACACACACTGGACTGGTAACCACGAGGTGAGTAGTTCAAATATGAGCAAACAACAAGACAAACCTGTTGTATATATAATATGAAGGGGCTTTAAAAAGTGCATGGAAAAGCAGAATTAAGAGAATTTTGCAACAAACTCTTTGAAGCTCCCGTGTGTGTGTGTGTGTGTGTGTGTGTGTGCATGAGCAAACTACAACAGCTACAGTAACTTGTCGCACAATGTAGATAGAGACAGAAATAGTCATGGGATACCAGTAACTGTACCCAGAGTTGTAAGAATACATCTCACAATGTTTAGAAACCCCATCAAATTTCACACACATCAGGAGGCTTCAAAAATTGCCAAAAATGTCTTTTAATTCCATTTTCCATGAACTTTTTTGAATCCCCCTCATTTTTCTCTATATAAATCATGACAGTACTACAATCTAATTGCCATGTGAGCCCCAAAAAGAACATTTGCTTTTTATATGACTGACTCATATGTTATATATTACATGACTCACTCATATGGAGTCTTGGCGTGGCACTGTAAGATAAGCACTCGACCGCAAGGTCAGTGGTTCAAACTCACTAGCTGCTCCTCAGAAACCCTGCACAGGGTCTGTATGAGTCGGAACTGACTCAACAGCACCTAACAACAACAACAACTACTGATTTATTGGAGAGAAATCACAAGCTCTCACACCTAAATATACTGTTCAAAAGAAAATGAAAAAAATTATGTTAGACCAACAGCAAGAAATAGCTCCTGTTCTGAGACTTTAATCTTCACAGGAGCCTTGGAGAGGCTGGTGAGTTTGAACCACTGACCTTTCTGTTATAAAAAAATACATATAAAAAGAGATACAATTATGAGGAAGATTTTAAAAACAAAGAAAGCTACAGGTCATTAGTGATTTTTTTCAGTCATTCTTGAGCACTAATTTATAACTAGATTCAGGAAAGGCCTCAAAAATGCCATTTTTAAGCTCTTTTCCCCCGTTCCTTCAGTTTAAAAACAGAAAACAAGCCAATGACCGTGCTGACTTTCCTTCTGTAGGACTAGCTGCTGAAAGCACTGTGCTCATGAATGCACCGTTACCTCATTTTGGCTCCTAAAGGAGCTCTGGTAGCATAGTGGTTACGAATCGGGCTGCGAACCACAAGGTCAGCAGTTCGAAACTACCAGCTGTTCCGCGGGAGAAAGATGAGGCTTTCTGTTCCCATAAAGATTTGCAGCCTCAGAAACCCTGTACAGGGTCGCTATGAGTCGGAACCGACTCCACGGCACATAACCACCACCAGCATTTGTGCTGTAGGATAATCACTGGACTGGTCAACAGTTCAAACCCACCAGCTGCTCCTCAGAAACCCTCTTCAGGGTCACTATGAGTCAGAACTGACTCTGCGACATGTAACAACAGCAACAATCAGCATTTGTAGGATGCAGATATGATTCACACCCCCCTGTGCATGTTTTGTGCATCATTACCTCATTTTAGCAGTCTGTGAGTTTATGCGTTAGACTGCAAGGTCGGCAGTTAAAGCTCACCAGCCGATCCTTGCTCACAGGGTCGCTGTGAGTCGGAATCAACTCAACAGCACCAGACAACAGCAACCAACATTTGTAGGAGAGAGATACAATTCACAATACCCTGTAGCTGAAGAAGAAACAGACCTATGCTTTGTGAGTCAGAGAGTGAACCTCAGAGATCCTACTCCAATCCCTCTGCTACTGGTCTTCCCTAACCAGGTGCTACTTAGCAAGGGACCTGAGTCCCTGAGTGGGGCAAACCATTAATGCACTTGAGAATTAACTGAAAGGTTGGCAGTGTGTGTCTACGCAGAGGTGCCTTGGAAGAAAGTCCTGGCAATCTACTTCTGAAAACTTGTTGCTGTTGTTTAGTGCCATCGAGTCAATTCCGATCCATAGTGACCCCTGTATAGGGGTTCCAAGGAGCAGCTGGTGAGCTTGAACCACCGACTTTGCAGTTCAAATGACTTTGCAGTCTGATGCATTAGCCCACAGCGCCACACCAGGATTGCAAACTCTATGGGGTACATACAGGTTTATTCTGAAGAAGTGTGGAATCGACGTGTTTCAGAATAACCTGTGCCCCATAGAGTTTTCAGTGGCTAAGTTGAAAACGCTACGACTTGTAATTAACTTGGTGGTGACTGGTTTTAGCTAAGGAACACAGACTATTCTATCGCCTTGCCATTAGACTGACTTGGTGACTCCCTCTTGTGTACCAGCATGTGAGCCCTTCTCAGAAACCTGCTGATGTACCCCTCCAAATCTGGGCTAAAGAGTCCAGAGCTCTTTCCCTCCAAAACTTTCAGCACAGTGATTCTGTCGGATAAGCACTGGACTGCGAACCACAAGATCTTGGAGGTGTAAGCCCACCAGCTGCTCCACTAGAGAAGAATGAAGCTTTCTGCCCCCACAAAGATTCACAGTCTCGGAAACCTGTACAGGGTTGCTATGAGTCAGAACCAACTCGATGGTATTTAACAACGACAACAACAAACTGTCAATAGCTCTCTGCCAACACACACACAATAAAACAAACGAAACCCCAAACCGCCCACAAGCTCTTAGAGGGTGGTTTCCATTACATTTAAATTATTCCATAGTTTTAAATTAAAATGAATTTTGTTCTCGGTTTTGCCTCCCCAAATCCTCATCCTTCTTGCATCTCATTGCTGTTGAACCTATTCGGACTCATGGAGACCCTAGAGGACAAGACTGAACTGCTTCTAGGATTTCTGAGACTTTAATCTTCACAGGAGCAGATAAGCCTCATTGTTCAGCCTAGGAGAGGCTGGTGAGTTTGAATCACTGACCTTTCTGTTAGCAGTGCTACTCCCACTGTGCCACTAGGGCTTCTCAATGTTGAGGCATATAAAATCAGCTTATACTGAGAGTTGGTAGTGCTAACTGTGACCCTGTTTCTGCCACCAAAGTCTTTTAAAGAAAGTCAACCTATTCAATGTTCTTGCCTTCCCCAGTTTGTACCATCGAGACAATTCTGACTCATGGCGGCTCCTTGCGTTTCAAACTAGAACTGTGCTCCATAGGGTTCTCAAGTCTGTGGTGTTCGGGAAGGACACCGCCAGCCATTTCTTCCAAGGCACCTCATGGCAGGTTCAACCAACCTTTCAGTTAATAGCTACATGCTTAAATGTTTGTACCATCCAGCAACTCCTAATCTGATTGTTGTTTTGTTGTTAATTACCGAGGAGCTGGTTCCGACTCATAGCGACCCTGTATAGGGTTTACAAAGAGCAGCTGGTGGATTCGATCCACTGACCTTGTGGTTAGCAGTTCAGTGCTTATCCTTCCACACCAAGAGTCCATCTAATTAGCTGCTTTAAATGGCCAAGAAATCATTAAACAAACCAGACTGACCAGGAAAACGAATGTGGTAATAAACTCTTAGGCTAAGCTTGTTGGTGTATCTTTTGTGATGAACAATCACATTAAATTACACACACACACTGCACCTGACTGAATGTCAGAATATCAGGGATCAGAAAATATTAACTCAGGCTGTATTAGATAAAGTAGATATTTGTAATGTGCACTGACTTTGAATATTTCCGGTAAGCCTGTGGTATTCCATTTAAATAAATAAACCTTCTGTTTGAATTGAATGTAAATCATTCTCCTTATATAATTATTAACCCACCATATTTGGTCAACAAAAAAATACAAACCTAGGTAATAAAAAAAAAAGGGAGTCTTGGTGTGGTGCTGTAGGATCAGCATTGGACTGCGAATCACAAGGTCAGCAGTTCAAACCCACTAGTTGCTCCTTGGAAACCCCTATATTGGGTCTCTGAGTCAGAGACACTTAATAGCAGCAGCACTTAATAACAACAACAAAACCAACCCCCTTTCATTTGGTGTGTGTTTAGGTGTTGGAGTGGGGAGCTCCTGAGGTCGGAATCAGATTGACTCTCCATTCTAGTTAAACATAAAACTAAACTACTGGCCATCAAGTTGATTCTGACTCATGTTGGCCTCGTGTATTTCAGAGTAGAAATGTGCTTCATAAGGTTTTCTTGGCTGTGTTCTTTTGGAAACAGACCATCAAATCTTTACTCCAGTGTATCTTTACCTGGATCCAAATGGTCAACCTTTCTGTTAAAAGCTGAACACTCAACTGTGAGCACTACCAGGGACTCTTCCAATCTGATTGGCTGTTTAAAATGGCCAAAAGGTGATTCAACAAATCAGATCGACTGAAAGACGTTTGAAATGGGCTTACAAGGGAATGCTTTGTCCAACCAATACCATTCAACACAGTGACTTTAAATCTTACCATTCTGAAGAGGACGTACCTGTTCTGGGCATTCACCTCCACCTGGTCAGTCACCTGCCCCAAGGATTCTTCTTCTTGCTTCTGCCGCAGCCTTTCCTGACGCGCTCGGCGGCGTCTTTCGCGGGCAGCCTCTTCCTCATCATCATCGTTCCTCTGGTAGGCAATTCTGCAACAAGAAAAAGACAACGCTTTGAGCAAACCAACTGACCACTAAGGCTCTTCACCAGCTTCTTGGATGAAGAAGAGCAGCTGCTTTTCTCGATCGGCCAGTTCCACCAACCACAGAGTTCTAACACGATGCTTCGGTTCCACACATTCAGAGACGCAATGTGATCACTTCCAATTTACGTACTTGAAGATCATAAATCCAGTGTCTACAGAGAACAAGTAACAATGATCAAATACCAACTTAAACTAGAAAGCCTGCAGGAAAGTAGGCTGCCTTGGGGGGGCTGTGGCCTGGCATATTAAGATTTCCTTACTTGGCTGATTAGTTGGATATCAGCATGTCAGATTTAGAAGCAGAAATCCAAAGGATTGAACCCAAACAAATCCAAACACTTTTGAAAAAGGAGCTGGCATATTGTGTGAATCACTTGTTCTGATATCGTCACAAAGTTCAGAAAAGAATCAAGTTATGCCACAAACCAGGACATTGGGATTATTAATCTAAAATGCCATTGTTTGTCGCTGTGTGTCATGGAGTCAATTCTGACTCATCGCCACCTTAGGTAGTGTTTCTGATGAGTGGCTGGTGGGTTTGAACTGCCAACCTTGTGGTTAGCAGCCCAGTGCTTATTCTACAGTGCCATGCCAACATAGCTAATGCAAATTGAGACCTGGGGCATTTTCTGGGCTTGAGTTTTATTTTCTCCTCCAGGGCTTTTCATTTGAGAGAGAAGATGTTATTGACAATAGATGGGAAGTTTCAGGGGTAGAGTATTTTGAAGAAGGAGGTGGCCCTCTGTGGAGTTCCCCTCTTATGCTCAAAACATGCTCTGGTCTTCTCACCAACAGACTGGAGCACATCTAACACACTACGGAAGCCCACAGGTGCATCTTTAGATACTTAAGGGCTGAGGTTGGTAGAAGAGCTCCAGACTTCCTATGCATACATGTAGTTTACCTTCATAGTTTCAAATGTGTGTGGGGGAAAATGATACAATTCTTACCGCTTTCTAACAGCTTGCTGATGAGCCATCAGCTGGGTTCCTATAACAGGGCACACCAGGACTGGGGCAGACACCCATGGTACCATGGCCTTGTTCTCTTGGACCATGCTTGCCTGCTCCCAGTTGCTGGCATCTGGAAATCTGTGCCAAGGTTCTTTCGCTGGCCACTGGAATCTCTGTTGCAGGCAGAAGTGCTGGGGTACAGATGACCCCCAGGATCAGCAACCCTCACACAAGAACTGATGAGTGTTAGTGTGCAAATGGAGCCCTTGGACAGTGCAAATCGCTACTGTGCTCAGTGGATGCTAACCGAAGGGTGCAGGCTTAAGTTCACCGGAAGGTACCTTGGAAGAATGGCTAGTGGTCTACTTTAGAAATATCAGCCACTGAAAACTATGGAGCCTAGTTCTACTCTGACACACATGGGATTGCTCTGAATAGAAATGAACTTAATGGAAACTGGTTTTAGTTGATCACTATCGTACGTACGTTTTGCTAGTACTTGGTGGTTGATGGTTATGTGTTGTGGCGTCGGTTTTGACTCATAACGACCCTATATAGGGTTTCCGAGAAATGGCTGTTGAGTATGACCATGCTGTCCAGTGGTGATCCTACAGCGCCACACCAGGACTCTACTCTAATGACTTGTTGTTGTTGTTAAGTACCGTGGAGTCGATTCTGACTCATAGTGACCCTGCACAGGGTTTCTGAGGCTGTAAATCTTTACGGGAACAGAACGCCTCATCTTTTTTTAGTGGAAGTGTTGGTAGTTTCGAACTGCTGGCCTTGTGGTTGGCAGCCTGACTCGTAACCACTACGCTACCAGAGCTCCTTGCTCTAGTACTTGTTGTTGTTATTGTTAAGTGCCGTCGAGTTGATTCCGACCCTGTATAGGGTTTCCAAGGAGCAGCTGTATAGCAACCCTTGTATAGCAAGGAGCAGCTGGTGAGCTTGAACCAAGTACTTGTTGTTAAGTGCCGTCGAGTTGATTCCGACCCATAGCGACTCTGTACAGGGTTTCCAAGGCTGCAAATCTTGACGGAAGTAGAAAGCCTCAACTTTCTCCCTCGAAGCAGCTGATAGTTTCAAACTGCTGATCATATGGTTTGCAGCCCGATTCGTAACCACTGTGCTCCTTCCACAAATAACAAAATGGGGACTGTGTGATTACACAAACTCAAGAGGTAATGGCTTTCCCTAGTTAACTGGATTTCTCAAGGGACATTGTGAATTGAGACAAAGAGTGCTGAGAACGGGTGGGTGGTGCTGGTTGGCCCAGGGCAAGAGGCCAGCTGGGTCTCTAGGTCTGGAAGGAAGGTCATCTTGCTTAGAGGTCTGTGTTTTACATCAGAAAGTTCAGTTGTTTTCATTATAATTGCTAATTGTTATTTGTTGTTGTTAAGTGCTGTTGAGTCAGTTCTGACTCATAGCAACCCTGTTTCCAATGGTGAGTTTGAACCACTGACCTTGCAGTTCAAATGACCCTGAGGTCCAGTGCTTATCCTACAATGCTACACCAGGACTCCACATGTTAAGTGTCATTGAGTCGGTTCCGATCCATAGTGACCTTGTATAGAGTTTCCAAGGAGTGGCTGTCCAGCCAACTTTGCAGTCTAGTGCAGAAACCCACAGCATCATACCAGGAGTCCATAATGTTACTGTTTTGTTGTTGTAAGTGCCATCAGGTTGGTTCCAACCCATAGCAACACTGTGGAGGGTTTCCAAGGAGCAGCTGGTGGGCTTGAACCATCAACCTTGAAATTCAAACAGACCTTGCAGTCCAGAGCATTAACCTTCAGCGTCACACCAGGACTCCATATGTAAAGCCAGCTATGCCAATGTGCCTGCTTCTGATTCTTCTATAACTCCAAAGTTAAAATCATTTACAAATGAAAGAAAAGAAAGCATAAATGTATGCCAACAATATGAACCTAACACGCCTCAGGGTTGGTTTGTTCAGTCTAACTCACTGATGTTAGATTTATGAACTAGGTGTTTTGAAGCTTAGATCTAGTACTTTACTTTAATCAGTTTCCATGTTTTGATTGGAAACGTTACAAAAGCCTTTTCACTTATGCATCTTATCACCAACAAGATTAATATAGGTTGGTTGGTTCCATTCTACTTTAGAAAATCTGACTTTGGACTTACTAAAATCTGTGAGTATGTAATACTCAAATGCCAGTAAAGTATCACTAGGGAATTGTAAATCTGATGGGTCTATTTCTACCAATACAGGGAGGAGAGGTCACTGTGGCATAGAGAAGGATGTTGTTGTTGTAGTCAGGTGCCATCGAGTTGGAACCGACTCATAGCGACCCCATGCACAGCAGAAGGAAACAATGTCTGATCCTGGGCCAACCTCACTACTGCTACCACACTCGATGCCATCAATGATGCCACCTGGTCGATCCATCCCGTTGGGGGTCTTCCTCTTTTTCTCTGACCCTCCATCTCACCCAGCATGACATCCTTTTCCAGTGACTGTTCCCTCCTGACAATATGTCCAAAGTATGAGAGAGGAAGTTTAGCCATCTTGGCCTCCAAGGAGTACTCTGGTTGTACTTCTTCCAAGACAGATCTATTGGTTCTTTTGGCAGTCCATGGCACTTTCAGTATTCTCCTCCAACACCACAACTCAAAGGCATCAATTCTTCTACGATCTTCCTTATTCACTGTCCAGCTTTCGCATCCATATGAGGTTATTGAAAATACCATGGCTTGGGTCAGGCGTACCTTAGTCCTCAAGGAGAGAAGGATGGTTAGATTAAAAACTAGTTGTCAATGGACGCGTCATGGTGGACCCGTAAGTATCAGAGTAGAACTGTGTTCCCTAGGGTTGTCAGTGGCTGACTTTTTGTGGAAATAGATCATTGGGCCTTTCTTCTCGGTGCCTTTGTTGTTGTTGTTCTTAAGTGAAGTCGAGTCAGTTTCAACCCATAGCAACCCTGTATAGGGTTTCCAAGGAGTAGCTGGTGAGCTTGAACCGCTGACCTTGTGGTTTAAACCAACTTTGCAGTCCAGCACATTCACCCACAGTGCCACACCTTTGGGTGGACTCAAACCACCAATGTTTCATTTAGCAACCAAGTGTCCCATTGGTACCATCCTGGGACTCAGTGACTAGATTAACCAAAAAACAAAAAACCCAATCCATTGTTGTTGAAGAATTGATGCCATTGAGTTATGGTGTTGGAGGAGAATATTGAAAGTGCCATGGGCTGCCAAAAGAACCAACAGATCTGTGTTGGAATAAGTGCAGCCAGAGTGGAGATCAAGATGGCCAAACTTTGTCTCTCATACTTCAGACATATTGTCAGGAGGGGCCACTCGCTTGAGAAGGATATCATGTTTGGTAAGGTGGAGGGTCAGAGAAAAACAGGAAGACCCCCAGTGAGATGGATTAGCCAAGTGGCAGCATTGATGGACTCAAATGTGGTAACAGTAGTGAGGTTCGTTCTGCTGTGCATAGGTCGCTATGGTCAGTACCAACTTGATGGCACCTAACAACAACAACAACAACAATTACAATTGTTGTTGAGTCTGTCTCCCAATCATAGCAACTCTATAGGAAAGAGTGAACGGCCCATAGGGTTTGCAAGTTGCAATCATTATGGAAGCCTCCTATCACAGCATTCTCCCATGGGGCAGCTGGTAGGTTCGAACCACTGGCCTTTGGGTTAGCAGACAAGCACTTAACCACTGCTCCACTAGCTTCTTCATGGCTGGATTGGGACTCAGAAGACCTGGCTTCTAGAGCAGCGTGCAGCCCTTGGATTAAGCTGAGCTTACACGGTCCAGACTGTGACAATTCAATGAGATCATGATGTGTTCTATGAAGCTGCCCCAGGGTGGTATTTTGTTGTTATTAAGAGAGTTCAGTTGAGGAAAGACAAGATCCAGTTTAGACTTGCTGAGTTAGTTCTATGTGTCAGTGTGATATGATTTGAACGTCCCTTTCTAATTCAGTCTCATTCTACTTTGTTGTTACTTAAAGTCCTGCCCAGTGGCTTGGCCTCAACCGTCAGATTCTTGTCTACTGTTCTTTTGGCTTCTTTCTTAGCAGAGAGCATGAACTCTTAAGGCTGCTTCCCAAGCGAATCAAACACAAAGTCTGAATTTGCTTTTACAGCTCTCTGGACCAGCCACAAGGTCTTGGCTATTTCTTGGGGCCTTCCTCTTCTAAGAGGAGCACAAGATGTAAACACTCCATATGGAATGTCTTTATGAAAAGAACAAATGGGATCTTACTTTAGGCTATTAATCTTCCAGCAGGAGTTCTGGTGTGGTGCTGTGGGCTAAAACACTGGGTCACAAGGTTGGTTTGAACCACACAGTTGGTGGTTCGAGCTCACCAGCTGCCAGGGACCTGCCTCGACAGGAGTGTTTGGTTCACGAGGAGGGGATATCTGGCAGCGATAGGGATAGCAAAAGAATACACAGAAAGACACAAAGAGGGAGACAAAGAGACACCCCGAAACCAGAGTGGATGCATTACTGGCGTCTGGCAGATCTGGCGTGGTGAACATATTAGCCATGAGGGCAGTAAGATCCCGCATAGCAAACATCTTAGCTATGTGGGCAGTATGTTCCCTTATCTAGCTGGTCAGCCACGCATGCCTGGTCAGCCGTATAACATGCCCTCCAGGCTGTAATGCACGATCTTAACGCATGCCCATAATGCACGGCCTGCAAGCCGTAATGAACACCTGGGCTGGCCTGCGCCTCCGTTTTATTTAGGGGAGGAGCTTCACACCAAGCTGGGAGGGACTAAGACAAGGTACAGCGAACATACGTAATTTTCCAGACATTCAGGCACCTTCACATCGTAATTCGCAGGTTCGAATCCCAGGCCCGCAACTTGGTTTCTCAGGCTCAATTAACATATCTATAGCACCTGAGCTCGATTGGGGGAAGGTGAGAAGAAAGGTCAAAAGGCTTGGGAGGA